TTGGTCAGGCTGGTCTCGGACTCCTAACCTTGTTATCCGTCCTCCTCGGCTTCCCAAAGTCCTGGGATGACAGTCGTGAGCCACCATACCCAGCCTAAATGTGAGTTTTAACTTCACATTATTAAAATATGAAACTTTTCGAAACAGAGCAGACTGGTTAAAGAATCTCTAAATACTAGATTAATATGACCGATGGACTTCAGAACCAGACCTTAGATATCTGTGATGTTACTTCGCAGTATATGCCAAATCAGCAGAGGAAGGAAGGATTCTGCAGTGATTGATGCTGGAAGAAACCAAGTTAGAGCCTCACCTCATACTTTAAAGCATAGCAAATTCAGCTGGTGTTAATGAGGTAAATGTGAAAAAATATCAATAAACCACCATATAGGCCAGGCTCAGTGGCTCACAGCTGTAATCCCAGCACTTTGGGAGGCCAAGGCAGGAGGATCACCTGAGCCCAGGAGTTCAGATCAGCCTGGACAACATGGCAAAACAACTTTCCTACAAAAAATAAAAAAATTAGCTGGGCATGGTGGGTGGCACAGGCCTGTAGTTCCAACTACTAGGGGTGCTAAGGTAGGAGGATTGCTTTAGCCTGGGAGGTTGAGGCTGCAGTGAGCTGAGATTGGGTCACTTCATTGCAGCATGGGCAACAGAGTGAGACCCTGTCTCAAAAACAAAACAAAACAAAAACCCATATACACAAGTTTTTCTCTAAGATCTGGTTGGAGACATTCTAGGCATTAAAGAAATGGGAGGAGTCACAAAGGAAAAGAGCCTAATTTTGACTGTAACGTTTCCTTGGGAGGAAGGTCACTTGAGGTTGTGAGTTTAAGACCAACCTGGGCAACAGAGTAGGTCAGCATCTCTACAAAAAATAGAAAAAATTAGCCAGGTGTGTTGGTATATACCTGTAGTCTCAGCTACTCGAGAGGCTGAAGTGAGAGGTTTGCTTGAGCCTGGGAGGTTGGGGCTGAAGTGTCTGTGATTGGGCCACTGCTCTCCAGCTTGGGTATAACAGCGAGACTCTATCATAACTCACTCTAAGCAACATTAAACTGCAAATTAAAAAACAAAACAAGAAAAAGCACTTAAAAGAGATATGACAGGTGTTATATATCTATAATAATTTATATATAATATCAAGAGCCCTTACAAATCAGTAAGAAAGTCACAATTTATTCAGCTATTTTGTGATTATCATTTTGGTTGCTTCTGTCATTTTTCTTGTATAAACAAGGCTGCAATGAATATCCTTATTTATTGGTATGGTAGAAAGTTCACACTAGAATATAAACTTTAAAAAGCAGGACACAAAATTATTAAGTAAGCAGAACATATGTATAACATGTATTAGCATATTTTTATTCTGTGAACATTTAGAATTCTGGATTCAGAATCTATTTTGATGATTCTCAAGTGATTTTGAAGGTCTTTGACATGTGATAATTTGTTATTTTGGCAAGGGCAGTGTTTGGGTGTAAGAGGCTGGTACGCAGGGCAGGAGTGTTTGTTAGGAAGTTTAAGACAATTAAATTTTCTTAAACTTAAATCTGTTTAATTAGACAGGTAAACTATTTTATCATCTTCGTTTGACCTGGCTCTTCTTTTCAATGTTAACAGAAGCCATGCAGTGACACCCGCTAAGACTTGTTGGTAGCCATGTCGGAGCCCCACAGGGTCCAGTTCACCTCTCTCCCAGGTTCCCTGAATCCTGCATTTTTGAAGAAGTCCCGGAAGGAGGAGGCTGGGGGAGCAGAACAGCATCAGGACTGTGAGCCGGCCGCAGCAGCTGTTCGAATTACACTCACCCTCTTTGAACCAGATCACAAACGCTGCCCAGAGTTCTTCTACCCAGAGCTGGTGAAGAATATCCGAGGGAAGGTGAAAGGCCTTCAGCCTGGAGACAAGGTACACTCCTGGGTTCCCAGAGGCACTGTGGCTCTAACGCACAGGGGTCATTGTATGCATGTGGGGCTTCCGGAGTCAGGAGACAAGACTTACTGAGATTTTGGCTGCCCCAAGATCCTGTCACTCACTCAAGGCAAGCACGAGGTTTGCTGCTTTTACCTCTGTGCACAAAGGGAGAGGTTAATTTAAATAATAGCTAATTAATATAAATTTTTAAAACAGTAAATTTTTCTGTGCCTAGGTTATAAACATTAGGCTTAAATGAAACCAGTCCCTGACAGTTCCAGTGTTAGAACTTCATGCTGGACATTTGTTTCTTCCAAGGGAATCTTGCTGTCTACCTAGTATAGGGGCAGACAAGAAAACATAGAGACTGCGTTTTTTGGTTTTTTTTTTTGAGACAGAGTCTCGCCCTGTCGCCCGGGAGCGCAATGGTGCGATCTCAGCTAACTGTAACCTCCACCTCCCAGGTTCAAGTGATTCTCATGCCTAGCCTCCCGAAGAGCTAGGATTATAGGCGCACGCCACTATGCCCATTTTTTGTATCTTTACTAGAGACAGGGTTTCATCATGTTAGCCAGGCTGGTTTTGAACTCCTAAACTCATTATCTGCCTGCCTCAGCCTCCCATAGTGCTGGGATTACAGGCATGAGCCACTGCACGTGATTGGTGAAGACCATTTTTAAGTGCCTCAAATGAACCTCACACCTCAGCCTCCTGAGTAGCTGGGAGTACAAGCTTGTGACACTATACCTGGCTAATTAAAAACAATTTTTTTTTAAAGATGGGGTCTCACTGTGTTGCCCAGGCTGGTCTGAAACTCCTGGCTTCAAGTGATCCTCTTGCCTACCTTGGACTCCAGAGTGTCGGGATTTGGGGAGCCAGTGGCACATGAGCCATTGTACTTGGACCTATAAACTTTTTTTTATTAGGCTAAGTACGTTACATGTGACAAATGCACAACTTGATGGAGATATATATATATATATATATTTTTTTTTTTTTTTTTGAGACAGTCTCACTCTGTCACCCAGGCTGGAGTGCATTGGCATGATGTCAGCTCGCTGTAACCTTTGCTTCCCGGATTCAAGTGATTCTGCTGCCTCACCCTCCCTGGGCTTACAGGTGCACACCACCACACCCAGCTAATTTTTGTATTTTTAATAGAGACCATTTCAGTATGTTGGCCAGGCTGGTCTCAGACTCTTGGCCTCAAGTGATCTGTCTGCCTTGACCTCCCAAAGTGCTGGGATTACAGGCATGAGCCTCCTTGCCTAGCCACAACTTGATGGATTTTCATGAACTCAGTACACCCATGTAACCTGTACCTGGGTCGCGAAATATATTTATCAGGACTCCAGAAAACCCTCCTTCTGCACTGTCCGAAGACTACCCCAATATTCATGGGCAACCACTGTCCTGATTTCTAACAACTTAGATCAACTTAGATTTGTGTGTTTTTGTATTTTATGTAGATGGAATCTTACGGTATTTGAGTACCACCTAGGTGAAAAGCGTTTTTCAACACTTCTACCTTTGAACTGTGCTAGGCTCTGAGGAAAAAGTAAGTGGGCTCCACAATCGCAGCATTCTGGTCTCTAGAGTGGCTCTTAGTAAAATGGGGATGAGGCTGATAATTGGCTCACAGCTGTCTGAGTGTGGAATGAGATCATGTTGTGAAGTTTCTAGCAGTATGCCTCAGTGCCAAGTGCTCAGTGGCTCTTATTCACTGGTGTGCTCTTAGGGGGGTATTTTTGGTTAGAAGGATTAATCTCTTTTTCCTGAGATTAAAAAATGTGTTTTCTTGGCCTGGCATGGTGACTCACACCTGTAATCCTTGCACTTTGGGAGACTGAGACATGAGGATCACTTGACCACGGGAATTCAAGACTAGCCTGGCCAACATAGTGAAACTCCATCTGTGCCAAATAATACAGAAATTAGCTGGGTATGATGGTGCATGCCTGAAGTTCCAGCTACTCAGAAAGCTGAGGTGGGAGGATTGCTTGAGCCTGGAAGGTCAAGGTTGGAGTGAGCCACTGTCACACCACCACACTGGGGGAAAGAGCAAGACCCTGTCTCAAAACAAAAACAAACTGAGAGGCCGGGCACAGTGACTTATGCCTATAATCCCGGCACTTTGGGAGGCTGAAGCAGCCAGATCACTTAAGGTCAGGAGTTCCAGACCACATTGGCCAATGTGGCAAAATTCCATCTCTACTAAAAATACAGAAATCAGCCAGGTGTGGTAGTGCACACATGTAATCTCAGCTATTCGGGAGGCTGAGGCAGGAGAATTGCTTGAACCTAGGGGCCGGTGGTTTCAGTGAGCTGAGATCACACCGCTGCACTCCAGCCTGGGTGACAGAGCGAGACTCTGTCTCAAAATAAAAAATAAAAAAACAAAAATTAGCCAGGCGTGGTGGCACGAGCCTGTAATCCCAGGTGTTTGGGAGGCTGAGGGATGAGAATTGCTTGAACCCAGGAGGTGGAGATTACAGTGAGCTGAGATCAGGCCACTGTACTCCATCCTGGGTGACATCGAGAATCCATTCCCCACCCCCCAAGAAAACCAAGCAAACAAACAAAAAAGTGTTTCCTTGATTGAGATCTGATTGCTCGATTGCCAGAATGGAGGCCAATGAGTCTGTATCAAGGGTCAGCCTGTTGGATGAGGGCCAGTGGGCAGGATGAGAAAAAGTAATTTCAAATCCCTTCATGATCCCTTTCCAGTAAAATGATATCTTCTTCCTTGAGAGGAGGAGACAGTAGCAGGGGTTGGTTAGTGTGTTTATTCATGGGCTCAAACCAAATCAGTAGCTCAACTGAAATTAGAATTCCAGTGCTCCAATTTCACCTTTTTAGGGGCTCCAAATGCCCTTCTCCATTGCAGAAAAATGCATGGAGGATACACAGAGAACTTTGGATTCACTTCAGAGGATTGAGTCGTGGACTTTGGGTTCAGAACTCCTAAATCATTATGGGTCTACTCTGCAGTGTTAAAAGTACAATAAAATCAGACACATTTTTGCATCAGTTCTTTTAGAGTGTATTTCTTTTTTTTTTTTTTTTTTTTTTTTTTTTTGAGACGGAGTCTCCCTCTGTTGCCAGGCAGGAGTGCAGTGGCACGATCTCGATGCACTGCAACCTCTGCCTCCCGGGTTCAAGCAATTCTCCTGCCCCAGCCTCCCGAGTAGCTGGGACTACAGGTGCACGCCACCATGCCCAGCTAATTTTTGTGTTTTTAGTATAAAGAGACGGGGTTTCACCATGTTGGCCAGGATGGTCTCGATCTCTTGGCCTTGTGATCCGCCCGCCTCGGCCTCCCAAAGTGCTGGGAATACAGGCATGAGCCACCGCGCCCGGCCTGGTGTGTATTTCTTAACAGTATGAAGGCACTGTGCTAGACTCAGGAATATAGAAAGGTAGAGAAAACACTGTACCAGCCTCAAAACAAATATCCTGTAGATATTTTAGGAGCATGGCACCCATAGGTAACAGAAGTTACAATATGGTCATTGTTTAAGTCTGGTACAACACAGGCCCTGGAGGGCATGGACAGAAGAGAGCTTACATCCTGATTAGTGTTTGGACAGAGCTGGACCTTCTGTCATACAGTCAGGAAATAGTAGTAACTGGAAGACTGTTGTTGGCAAGGCATTGAGTAGTATACATAGAATCCAGTGCTGCTCAAGGTTGGTGGGATTTCTTACAGTTATATAACCACTCAAGTTATATGTGGTCATTGTAGAAAAATTAGAAGATCCAGATAAGTGTGTTTGAAAGACTCCCCATTTGTGATATCTTCATTAGATGTATGCTGTGTAATATCCATTCTATGTGTATATCACAAATCATTTAACTGATACTGTTTTAGTAGGCAGAGATGGGAGGGTGAGATAAGAAAGTCTGTTTGAACGAGGCATATAGTCTTTAGTGTTTTTCGTCTGCCTTGAAGTCTTAAGCATATTTGGTATAGGAGTCTTAATAAAATTAAGATTCCTGGCTCATGGCCTCTTCCACTTATGGTTATGATGAATCCGATTCCTTCGTTGGTAACTCTGAGGCAGTAAGTAGTTACTGAAAATGCCATGTCAGAACCACTGCACCGTAGCACCTAGTGTGGTGGCTCTCACCTATAATTCCAGCACTTTGGGAGGGCAAGATGGGCAGAGCCCAGGAGCTTGAGACCAGCCTGGGCAACATGAGGAAACCCTATCTATATAAAAAACTTTTAAAAAATTAGCTGGGCATGGTGTTGGATGCCTGTAGTCCCAGCTACTTAGTAGGCCGAGGCAGGAGGATCACCTGAACCTGGGGAGGTCAAGGCTGCAGTGAGTCATGATTGTGCCCCTGCACTGCAGCCTGGGTGACAGAGTGAGACTCTGATCTCAAAAAAAAAAAAAAATTTTTTTTTAGATTTCTTGCTCAAGAAGCTTAAGGCTTATCTCTGGAAAATTTGATGAGGAAAGAGTAAGCTTATAAAATGGAAATAAGCCTTGGAAGCCTGAGTTTAACTTTGGTAGCAGTGAGAGAAGTACAGATTCAGACCTTTCTAAACAGTATGGCAGAATGGCTCTCAGGAACTTGCACTGCATTCAGTGGGATTTTAATGTTTTTGAATCATTGGCTATTTTGGAAGTCAGTAGACTCTTTTCTAGAATGTTTTTAAATGCGTAAAGTAAATTTTAGAGTTAATAAGGAAGTCCGCTTTATTAGACATGATTGTTTAGTGGTTGGGCATCTCTTTCTAAAGGCCCTTTGCTGTGTTTGAGCCCTGCAGCCCCTCATGCTGTGCTGAGCAATTTTAGGCGTTCAGTCAAGTTTTATTAAACTACATGAATGGAAATTTTTCTTAATTAAGATAAACACTGATGAGATGGCAGCATGTTTTCTACCTTGTCCTTTTCATAAAAACATTGTTTTTATTATGTAGTTCATAGGTGTTGAGTAGTCAGTGAAGTTGCTATGAATAAGAACATGGGAATATTTTGTGACTTACTTTTTGTGGAATGATCTCTTTACAGAAGAAAGATCTGTCAGATCCTTTCAATGATGAAGAAAAGGAAAGACATAAAGTGGAGGCCCTTGCCCGGAAATTTGAAGAAAAATATGTAAGATTTCACTCATGAGCAACAAAGCAACCTCCTTGGGATGGGGAGGTTTCCACACATTTCTGTATCCCTTTAGTGGATTGTCATGTAAACAACACTGCTCTGGAAGTAAGCATTAAGCTTGGAGAGAACAGAAGCAGTTATTAAACCTAATGCATTAAGGTACAGAAAAGGTGCATGGCAGAGCTAGTGTGAGGAGGTAATTGGACAAATAACTGAGAAGGGCCTGTGACCACCTTAGAAGAAATGTTTTGGTACGAAGCATAAGAAGCCATTTAGTTCCTTTTTCTGTCCTAGGACATTTTATACAGATAGAAATCTGTCCTATGTCAAAAGTTGTTCAGGAAAGAAGGTTTTGGGGTTTGTGTGTATGTGAGAGAGTGATCGTTCTAGTTAGTGCGTTACCTCTTTGAATCATAGCTGATGAAGTTTAAGGCAATAGTCAATAATGTGTATTTATCAAAAAGTATGTGATCTATTGCTTTTACATTTTTAGGGTGGAAAGAAACGTAGAAAAGACCGAATACAGGACTTGATTGATATGGGGTATGGTTATGATGAATCCGATTCCTTCATCGATAACTCTGAGGCGGTAAGTAGTTACTGAAAATGCCATGTCAGAACCACTGCACTGTAGCTCCTCCTGATACTGGCCAGGAAGCTGGGGGTGGGATCAGAGTGGATGTGCCCTCTTCCCAGCATGAGGCAGTAGCAGCACGGATGAGAGATGAAATGACGTTCTTGATCCGGGCATTAGTTCCCTCTTCTGAAAATGATGACCAGATCCGTCGAAAACACCTTGTAGCTCAGACGTTCATGATTGACCAGAAGGATGTTTTAGCATACTCTTGGAAGTGGCAGAGGAATATAGTCACCTCTCTCTTGAGACCTACTTTTCACCTTCGGACTACAGAACCAAAACTTGGAGCTGACCGTTTGTTTCCCCCCTTCAGTATGATGAGCTTGTTCCTGCTTCTTTGACTACAAAGTATGGAGGATTTTACATTAACTCGGGAACCCTGCAGTTTAGACAAGCGTCAGAGTCTGAGGATGACTTCATTAAAGAAAAGAAGAAAAAATCTCCAAAGGTTAGAATGTGCTTGCTTTTGGATTTCAGAATGCTTTTTGACGTGACCCTATCAGATCAGTAGGTGACTTGCCAGAATATACGGCGGTTTAGGCTGGCTCAGGAGGCTGGTGGAAAGGCAGAGCCATGCCAGGTCGATAGCTCACCTCGCACACGTGTGCCCCGATGAGGACACGTGCCTGTGGGGGCTCTGTTCAGCTCTCGGTCATCGTGTCCATGTCACATGACATCCCAGCAGGCTCAGCAGGGGTCATTTCTGGAAGTGGCCTCAGGGTGGGAAGGATGTGGAGTGAGGGAGTGTGCACCACCCTTGCTGACCCTCTTCTGTGGACGTGTACAGGACTTCAGTTCCCAGGGCTGTCTGTCATCCCATTGAAAACCAGTCAGCCTTAGGATCAGTGTGTTTAAAAACCTGTCTGCCACTCCCGATGTGTTTGAAACGAGAGGTAGGGCTCACTTGTAACTGTTTCAAACTAGAAAGGTTTCAGGCTCCAGAATGGTCACTGTTGTCTCAGCCCCAGGTGTTTCCAGGAGACACCGTCGGTGGGAATGCTGTGGGTTTGTGGTCCAGGGACTGATCGGAGAGCTTTTTGTTCATGAAGAAAATGAGACAGGTCTCAGGATGTGCCCCGGGCGGAGCAAGGCCAGTGCCATGTAGTGCACTTGCTCCCTGAGTTAGGGAGCCGTGTAACTGTGCCTTGTCTTTAATTCTCAGAAGCGGAAATTGAAGGAAGGTGGTGAGAAGATAAAGAAGAAGAAAAAAGATGACACTTATGACAAGGAGAAGAAATCGAAAAAGTCCAAGTTTTCCAAAGCCGGGTGAGAGGCAGCAGCTTCTTTGCTAGGATAAGCCTGAACTGTTAGGGCAGGACGACTGGGAGCTGACTCACCTCCTCCCCACAGCTTCGGAAGAGGCAGCAGGGCCTGGCCTTCCTGTCCTCCCGCACGCCTCCCGCAGTGCCATTCTGGGCATAGACGTGCACCTCTCTGTGTGTCAGATAGTTCCACTGTCAGTGTTGGCAGCTATTCCTGTCACTGTGTGACTGCTGATGTTTCTCGTTCTCTGGGGCGCTCCTTTCCGCCCCAGTTCTCCTCCTGTCTCTGCTGTTTTCCCTTGTCGTCTGTGGTCATGCTTCCTTCTCCTCACTTGGTCTCACCCCAGCTGCTCCTCAAGTTGCTGCTGTTCTCTGCTGCTCCTGCTTTCTCCCTCTAAATACTTTTCTTGCCCTCCCTGCCCCTTTTTGCAACCTTTTATTTCAGCCTGGCAGTGATTTCTAAAAACCCATCGGAAATTTAGCATTACGTGACACTGTGTTGCTAACCTGTATTAACTCTCAAGCTTTGGTCTCAGCAAGAACGAGCTCCATATGCCAAGAGGAGGGAGGAGGAATAACAGGGTGGACTGTGACAGGTTCTCCTGGAGACCATGGCCCTGGGATCAGGGGTGAAGGCCTCTTGAGTTCCCTTAGGAGGTGTCCTGTGTCTGAGTGACCAGTTTCCCTCTTGTTTGCAGCTTCACAGCCCTCAATGCCAGTAAGGAGAAGAAGAAGAAGAAATACTCCGGGGCTTTAAGCGTTAAAGAGATGCTAAAGAAATTTCAGAAGGAGAAAGAGGCTCAGAAAAAAAGGGAGGAGGAGCATAAGCCTGTTGCAGTCTCGTCAGCGGAAGCTCAGGGCCTGCGGGAACTGGAGGGTGCCTCTGACCCTTTGCTCTCACTCTTCGGCTCCACTTCTGACAACGACTTGCTCCAGGCGGCCACTGCCATGGACTCGCTGACGGATTTGGACTTGGAGCATCTGCTCAGTGAGTCTCCAGAAGGAAGCCCCTTCCGTGATATGGATGATGGAAGCGATTCCCTTGGGGTGGGATTGGACCAGGAATTCAGGCAGCCCTCTTCTCTCCCCGAAGGCCTGCCAGCACCCCTGGAGAAGCGCGTTAAGGAGCTGGCTCAGGTATGGTGACATAGTGTGGCTGGGCTTTCCTGGAAGCAGTTTGGGCAGATTGCTGTTGGTTCTGCACTGCGTGAAGCTCGATGCCCAGAGAAACCCTTAGTGAGTTGGCAGTTAAGGTGTCAGCGTTTTCCAAATTTCTCATCCTGAGTGAGCAAACACTGTAAGCCTTGCCCGTCAGGCTTCATTTTAGGCCTTTCTTGGTTTTGTTTCTGGAAAATTTGCTTTCTTCTTTGATTGTTTTTTCTGTTTTTCTGTTTTCTGTCAGTTTGTTTTCCACACGGTATCTTTCTTTTATGTGATAGACGGATGATGTTGGCAGCGGGCAGCTGAGACAGATTCATCTTCGTATTCTTTTGTGGGTTTTGCAAATTGACAAAAGTTTGCAAACATATAAGTTATACATAGAGTATATGCTTCGTTACCGCTAGGTTTCAGTTGCTCCCTTGTGTTGTGTATCCAGTGTTAGGAAGCGATTACAAGAATGCCTCAAATGCGATGAATGAAAAGGAGCTTGATTTTAAACGCTATCCTTGTCCCATTAAAACCCACCATCACCACCTTTAGGATATAGCAGCTATTGCTGCCATTTTCCTCCGGTGATTGGGAATTGTTCCGTAAGCACTGAGAATTGTCTGTTCAGTAACACATTTCTAACTGTAAACCAGGCGTGGATCATTGGTTGTATGTCATTTACCTTTAAGTTAAAATAACATTTTACCTTGAGCATCAGGACTTGTGATGCAGCTCCAGTGGTACTCATAATCTACAGCTGTAGGTTTTACACCAGTGATTCTTAGAGGATGTCAGAAGCATTGTTCCATATAATATCCCTTGTGTTTTAGGGCAGGATAAGTTGTCAGCCACTGCTAAAATGATTTTCTCAATTGAAAAAGTATTTGAACACCATATACAAAGCAAATAAAGTATCCTATTCAAATCTCTAGCTCACCTTTGTCAGCTTGTTTGCAGCGTTGGAAATTCAAGTATTGTATTTGAATGTAATGATTTAAATGAATTATGCCATGTTGGGGTTTGGAGTATCTCTTAGTATGACATTGAGGTGGAAGTAGCTGAATCTGAACTTGGGATGTTTGAGCCTAGTGTCCTATATTTGCTCTCAGAATTCATGTTAAACAAACATTACTCCTTGTTCTTTTTTTTTTTTTTTTTTTTGAGACGGAGTTTCGCTCTTGTTACCCAGGCTGGAGTGCAATGGCACGATCTCGGCTCACTGCAACCTCCGCCTCCTGGGTTCAGGCAATTCTCCTGTCTCAGCCTCCTGAGTAGCTGGGATTATAGGCACGCACCACCATGCCCAGCTAATTTTTTTGTAGTTTTAGTAGATACGGGGTTTCACAGTGTTGACCAGGATGGTCTCAATCTCTTGACCTCGTGATCCACCCGCCTCGGCCTCCCAAAGTGCTGGGATTACAGGCGTGAGCCACCGCGCCCGGCCACCCCTTGTTCTTTTTAATCCTCCAGTTCGTAATCAAATTGTTTCATAGCTTCTGAAAGTCTCGTTAAATCATTTAAGTAAGGTTTACGTTACAAGAGCTGGTCGTTAGAGAAAAGTCAAAAAACTGAATTCTTGTCCGTGTCCTTACTCCTGCCATAGGTTGTGTTCTAGTGTAAAAACTTAGTGTTTCACTTTCTTGGCAAAGATGGAAATAAATTTAGTGGCAACAAAATGACATAACTGGAAACAGCGTTGGGCTGTAGTACAAGAAAGTGGAGCTGAGTAAATACCTTACTAGGCAGGCTGTCCCTCCTCAGTGATTGCCAAGTGTCGGTTAGCTCTTGGGCATAACAAACACAGGGTTCAGGATCCCATAAACAAGGTGGGCCTGGGTCCCGGTGGAGAGGTGGTGACCAGGAGAGGCTGATGTTCTGGTTTGAAAATGCAGTATTCAAGTGTGAAGTTGATATTTGAGTCTTCACATTGCCCTTCTCCTATAACAGCTTTAAGAAACTTTGGAAAAATGGGGTGGAAAGTGTATGGAAATTATCCATCATCCTGCCAATATAGAAACAATTTCTATTTGCATATTCTTTCCTAGCCTGTGTGTATACGTTTTTATGCAGCTGTAATTATAGTTGTGAATAACTGTTTTCCTGCCTTTTTACCTAATAAATACTATAATAAAGCCCTCATCACTTTCCATGGTTGCATTAAAAAGGTGGCTTGTTTTAGAAAGTTGCTTAATGGTACTCCACAGGGTCCTCAGGTGCTCTGTTCTGGCAGGGCCCTGCACTTGGGGCACTTGGAGTCCCTGCATGTGTGTGCAAGTACCCTGGATCCCTGACTCCAATGAGAATCTGCTGGGAAAGATAGGCTTCCCAGGGAAAGAATGCACTGGTACACACAAATTGCATGTGATTCCAAAAGCCACACGTGGATATTTGGATCCTTATTAAGGAGTTCATCCTAGATCTTGAAATGGACATCATATTTTTAAAATTTAAATTAAACGTGGTGTATACAACTGGAACATTAGCTGTGTTATGTGTTTCTCACTTTATTTTTTATACCCCTAATTTTTCCCCGCTTTTTCCTTTATTTTTATTATAAGATTAGTTAGACTTTACATCTTGGTCCTAGATGACACACACGTCTGCCTTCCAGATTTCAGTGATTCTCGTGCCTCAGCCTCCTGAGTAACAGAGATTATAGCTATGAGCCATTGCGCCTAGCCTGTAATCCTGTTTTGCATTCTACCACAATACATAGCAGATTCTCATCCCATGTGTATTGATCCCTTAGGGGAAAAACACTTCCTTTGTGGGAAGCAAAATTAGATATACCTTCTAACTAAATTTGGTACTTAAAACTTTAATACCTTTGAAAACTTGTGTGTGTTAAAGACGTCCTCTGAGAGAGAACCTTGGTGATGCCTCTGCTAACATTCACTATGTTCTCAGATTAGCCTGTTTTTTGTTTCTTACTGATTTGTATTGTACATTTGTATAGGCTCCAATGAATCCAGTGATTTGATGGCCTTATCCTGTCCTCTCAATATGCATTAATGGTGTCTTCTGTCTTGGTCGTTGGCAGGTACAGGTCCTGAGAAAGCTCAGGTTTGGTGTCCCTTTGGGTTACTGTCTTGAGGTAGTTTGGCAGCTGCTCAGCCTTGGGCTATACAAATAACCTAGGTCTATTTTGGTCCTCTTCAGTCAAGCATAGCAGAGAGACAATACTAAGAGCAGGAATGAAAGAGACCCCATGTCATCCATGCCTCTAGTCTGCCCTCCTATAGAATTAGAACCCCTCATCACAGGAAGTCCAGGGAGGGATGGCTCCAAAGAGAATAAGGTAGGAAAAAAACAAAAAACCAAAAACTTGTTTAATCTTCTTAAAAAAAAAAAAATCATACCAGACTTTCTTCTATTCAGCAAAAACAGATACAGTATTTAAGATTTTGAGCTGGGCATCAAAAGGCTACAAGTGGCTTTTCTTACAATAAATAAAATGGCTCATTAAAAGGTTGTTGGAACAATTATGAGTCAGCATGATTGGGGTGTTTGTAACTTCATTTCCTAGTTAACTTAGGATTAATTTACACAACTTCTGGGGTAAGAATGTCTCTTTTTAGGGGTGAGGGACCTCACTTATTTTTGGAAGACTGTCAGATATGTATTCAGTTGCTCTTTTAATTAGATTAAAGCGCTGCAGTACACTGTCTTCAGTATAAAACCAGACCCTTGGAGATATTGTCTATGCAATTAAAAAGATTTCAGAAAAATATTTTTTAAGATGACATAATATTTAAAATAAGATTGCATAAAGATTACATAGAAAGCTTCTGAAATATTGTACAAATGGCTATCTAAACAGAAAATTGGGCCAGGCAAGGTGGCCATGAATGTAATTACAGTACTTTGGGAGGCCACGGTGGGAGGATCACCTGAGCCCAGGAGTTTGAGACTAGCATGGGTAACATAGTGAGGAAAAAATCTAAAAATTAGCCAGGCGTGGTTGTGTGCTCCTGTAGTCCCAGCTGCTTGGGAGGCTGAGGCTGGAGGATTGTTTGAGTCAGGGAGGTCAAGGCTGCAGTGAGCTATGATCATGCCACTGTACTCCAGTCTGGGTGACAGAGTGAGACCATCTCAATAAAATGAGATAAAATTTGATTGGAAATTTAAGCTCTTGATGGGTCTCACAGTGTGGCATTGAAGTACTTGTTTGTTTGAATTAATGTGAGGGTGCTTCTGGATCTTATAACTAGCAGCATAAGCTTAAGCAAAAAAAATTGTTTTATTTTTTTATCATACTAATATGATTCTAGTACCATCCAAGTGTCAAGGTAGAATTCTGAATGCTTCCAAGAGTGTAAGAAATTGGCATATGGCTCGTTGAAAAGTCATGCCCTTTTTGTCATTATCCTTATGTTCATTTCTCCCCTAGCCAAGGGATCTTTAGAAGCCTGAGTTTTGCATATTTTCTTCCAGCTTAGTTTTGGTTGTTTGACGTTAAGCTTTTCTTCCTTTGGTGTGCCTTCTTAGAGGAGTACCTGTTCATTGGTTCATTCATTCACTCAGTCAACATTTAGTAAATATTATGTGACAGGTAGCCATGGGAAATATATTGATGAATAAGACTCATTTCTTTTTTTTTTAAGACAGGGTCTCACTCTTGTCACCCAGGCTGGAGTGCAGTGGCGTGATCTTGGCTCGCTGCAACCTCCGTGCCCAGGGCTCAAGCGATCCTCCCATCTCAGCCTCCAGAGTAGTTGGGAGCACAGGCATGCACCACCATGTCCAGCTTTTTTTCATTTGTTTGTATTTTTAGTAGAGACAGGGTCTCGCCATGTTGCCCAGGCTGGTCTCGAACTCCTGAGCTCGGGTGATCTGCCCACCTGTGCCTCCTAAAGTGTTAGGATTACAGGTGTGAGCCACTGCTCCCGGCCAAGGTTCCATTGTTATCTTCCATGAGCTCGTTATGTAAAAGGACTGATAGATAGGCAGACAGTAGACTGTAGGACAGAGCAGAATGAAGTAAGCTCTGTGATGTCTAGACAGCTATAAATAGCTAGACTTAAGGGGTAAAAGAGAGGCGCTGAGGGGGGCATATAGGAAGTGGACTGGAGGCAACAGACTTGGCCGGCCTCCTGGGGAAGATGCCTAAGAGATGGCAGGGAGCAGAGCTGAAGATGGGCCACTTGGTGGATGGCTGGGCTAGATTGTGGAGGACCCCAAATGCCATGTGAAGGAGTTTCAGTTTGATTCAGGCTTGGGAAGAGCTGCTGAAGGGTTCTGAAGAAAGGAGTGGACGATCTTAGGGTTGGAGTGCAATTATCAGAAGTGGGGAGCACAGGCAGAAGAGCAGAAGCTCATAGGCCTGGTGTAAGTTGAGTTTGCAAACCAGAAGGTCATCCATCCACAGAAGTGCAGTTGACCCTTGAACAGCATGGGGTTGGACTGCGTGGGTCCACATACACGCACACTTTTTCTAACCAAAAGCAGGCTGATTTGAGGGATGCTAAATCTGTGTATAGAGGGTCAACTTTTTAAATATAGGCAGGTTCCTCAGGGCTGACTGTGCACTTGGATTTCGATATATGCGAGGGTCCTGTAACCAATACTCTGCCTATACCCGGCGTTGACTGTAATTGGAAATTACTCAGAGGTAACTGGAAATTCTGGCCCAGAGCTTAGATGAGAGGGTTTAGCGCTTAGTTTAGATTTGAGGGTACAGTTGTCTGTGTTATTTTGAAGCCCTGAGGGGGAAGAAGGTATTGGGAGAAGTGGGTTCTATGGAGAATCCTGGGGTCCACTTATGGAAAGGAGCTGGTGGAGGAGGCAGATGGAGAAGTTTGAATGGTTGGAAGGGACCCCAGAGGATGCAATGAGAGGAGATAAGTGGGGGAGATGATGGTGAAGGGGGGCGTTAGCAGTGTCTGCAGTTTCAGAGGAGTTGATCACTTCGTTCTAGATAGTCACCTTATCACCCTTGTTTGCTGTCATTATTATATCTCATGTCTGATTTCAGAAATTTTATTTCACCCAAAGCCTTCAAACCAGCAGCTCTTGGGTTTAGATGGGTGGTTCCCAGCCCTTTTTGCACATCAGTGTCAGCCCGGTTGCTTTGAAAGAGTACTTGAGCCACTTTTAGAGAGTGTGCATTTCTGAGTCTCCTTTCCAGAGATTGCGATTTGAGTGGCCTGAGTTGGTCCAAGCTTCCCAGGAATTTCAGTATGCAACCAAGTGTGAGAACCCCTAATGCAAACTCTTGCAGGGTCTGCTTTTCTGTCTTCTCTCAGCGTCTTGGCTGCCTGCCATGGTTGCTTCAGGAGTCTTTGAGCTTGCCATCCTGGGTGTGTGTTAACTGTGTTCTTTTGGAAAGTAAACTAAGACTGTCCCAAAATCCCTATAACCTTGTGTTAATAGGTGGTGTGCTGGGTTAGTTATACACATGGTCTGGATGATAGAGAGCTTATTGTATACCATAAGTAGATTAGGAATTTTCAAAGAGTTTTAATGTCCTTAAGTACTAGAGCTACACATTATTATTATTTTTGTAGATAAAAGGCCTTTAAATCCTATAGGCTGGTGGAAGTTTTGATTATTTTTGTACTGTAGATACATGGAAATCCCAACTAATGGTATAGTTGATAGCATATGGACACGGGTTAGTTGGCCATATTGGCCTCTGACAAAGTGCATTGTAATTGCTTTGACTCTGTGATTTTCTTTTCTGTGACTGTTTTAAGTCCTGAGGAGAACTAGCAGCCCACAGATGATGTAGCATCATTTGAAGAGAGCATATTGATCACAGGCGAAGTTAACCTGGGACTAGGGTGGAGTCGAAAGGTGGCAGTGTGACTGTATCGACAGGTGCTCTTTATGGAGCAGTGACTCCTGTCCCTGTGGGTGAGCTCGAGGGACATGTGGGGAAAGTGCACTAACGGCTGTTACTGTCTGCTGTGCACCAGGCTGCCAGAGCTGCTGAGGGGGAGAGCAGACAGAAGTTCTTCACCCAGGATATTAATGGAATCCTATTAGAGTGAGTATCTTCTGTCTGTCTGTCTGTCTGTTTCTGCTATTACTGCGCTTGGGGTGAGCCAACCAGGGGAGAATGGGAGTATAATTGAACTGCGTAAAAGTGACCACCAGTGAGATAAAAGGATTGGATTAACATGGTTTGATGTTTTTCTGTTAAAAAACAAAACACAACAGGGACACCAAATACTTTTCTCCAGAAGCCATAGACCTTTCTGATCTTGGGGCAGCAGGCATTAATAGCATATGATAATCATGGCCTGTTAGAAGAGGAGTTCTTGGTAGGTACAAGATGACAAGAGAGAGAGAAGGTGTTGCTTTCCTGTCTCTCAGAATTGTGAAGAATGAGAGATAGCCTGGTGGCCTCAGGGACCTGCTCTGCCTCAGGTGTTGCATGGCGTCCCTGGCCGGTCCCCTCTCGCTCACACTCCTGATCCTAGTGCCATGTGCATCGTCCTGTAATGCTGTTCCCATACTCCTGAGCCTCTGAGGCACCACGCTGTGTGAATTGGGCTAAAAAGCAGAAGAGCAAAGGTCTATAAATCCAGATTGAGAAAAGCGAATCCTTGTGGCCTGGCCTGCAGTGTTGCAGCTTTTCTCCTGGTTGCAGTTTGTGGCAGGAGAAGCTTGTTGCTCAACAGCTGAGGAGGTTGTCATTAAGATGAGTTGTCAGTATGTGGGTGTGTTTTAGCAAACGGGCTATCCTGGCCAGGACCTGGATCAGCCCCTTGGGTCAGGAAGTGTGGGCTGCGGAGAGCACCTGAGCACTGGCATGGATGAGAGGATTGTATAAACAAGGAACTTGCTTGAGTGTGCCAAATATGGACAGCTCAAGGCATTGAAGAGAATTTTTGTTGTTGTTGTTGCTTTTTTAGAGGGAGAAACTGGAGGGGTGGGGCTTTCCCTAACATTATAATGGTTGATAGAACTGGGAACTAGGGGGTAGAATAAAGAAATGCTGCTGGAAAGTATTTCCTGTCAGCCCCAAGTAACTTACGACTTTCTACTTTGAAAGCTTTATGTTTTCTCTCTGAAATTTAGTGCTTCAAAGCTTGTTCTTCTGGGCTCTGTTTTCCTGGTCTTGTTTTTGACCTGAGCCTTAACCCACATTACTTAGCCATGTTCATCAGGTTGGGAGTTGTTCTTGTTTGTTGATTGCTGAAGATGTGTTTCTGTGGGCCCTCAGTTTCATTGTGTGACCTACAAGACAGGATCTGACCTGCCTTTGGCTGCTAACTTTCCTCTGCACGTACGGGAGCCGATGAAGACAGGAGTTGCAGCGGGCTGCAGCCAGTGGTGACTGTGTTCTCTTCTTCAGCATAGAGGCGCAGACTCGGGAGCTGAGCAGTCAGGTCCGCTCTGGCGTATATGCCTATCTCGCATCATTCCTGCCCTGCAGCAAGGATGCCCTGCTCAAGCGTGCTCGGAAACTTCACCTCTATGAACAGGTGGGTGACTGAAGTGAAGCCCTTTGGCTTTGGGACCTGGTGGAGGGGTGACTGAATCTTCATCGATGCCACATCTGCTGCCGCACTGCCTCCTTGTGATCTCCCCATCTTGCATCCCAAGTGTAAGGGCCATGTGTAAACCTGCCTTGAATTATGTCCTGCCCTCTGCAGGGGGGGCGTCTGAAGGAGCCTCTCCAGAAGCTGAAGGAAGCCATTGGCAGGGCAATGCCGGAGCAGATGGCCAAGTACCAGGACGAATGCCAGGCACACACGCAGGCAAAGGTCGCCAAGTAAGTGTGTCCTGGCACTTCGGTGGCGTGAACCTCCCATCTTGCCTCTTGCCCTCCCATTTCTCAGTATGTACTGCCATTTCCAAAGGAGCCACTTAGCTCTTCTTTGGCCTTTTCTCATTCTCTGTGAAGTCCCAGTTGTGCAGAGCGTGAGTGGAGAGGTGGTGGGGAGGAGCGCCTTGGGGCCCCATGTAGTTCTGTTCACCCCATAGGATGCTGGAAGAGGAGAAAGACAAGGAGCAGAGGGACCGGATTTGTTCAGATGAGGAAGAAGATGAAGAAAAAGGGGGCAGGAGGATAATGGGACCCCGGAAGAAGTTCCAGTGGAACGATGAGATCAGGTGTGCCTGCACTGGGACTTGGCCTCTCTGGAGGGTTGGTGGGGCAGTGTCTGAGCACTATTGGTGCTTGGCCTCTCTGGAGGGTTGGTGAGGCAGTATCTGAGCACTAAATGTCCCCTATTGTTGACAAAGGTTAGGCTCGTTTGCTTTCATCAGGGCTGCTGAAAGCACATGATTGGAACCTTGAAGAAACATCTGGAGTAGTTTGGAGTTTATGATTTCTGCTTCCTTCTCAGGGAGCTGCTGTGCCAGGTGGTGAAGATCAAACTGGAGAGCCATGACCTGGAGAGGAACAACAAAGCCCAGGCTTGGGAGGACTGCGTGAAGGCCTTTCTGGACTCGGAAGTCAAGCCCCTCTGGCCCAAAGGCTGGATGCAGGCCAGGTGAGGGCTGTGTGCCGAGATCGGGCATCTGTGCAGTCAAGACATGTTTGAACGCTGCTTTTGTGCCAGGCCAACGGGATCCCAGCCCGCAGGGAGTGACTGTCTAGTTGCCTCAACTCTGATCTCACCTGAGTAATTGGGAGACATGCAGGTAGCTGGGAAAGGGTCTTCCAGGTTTTCCCTGGAGGAAGGGAAGTTGCCTGTGGGGTTTTGTCTTTGTCATTTCTTGTCCCACTTCAGTTGAGGTTTGGCCTCCCATCTCAGTATGCATTTTCCTGTTTTAACATATGGGCTCCTGAGAGCATTTGAGAGGTGGATTCTTCTTGGGTCTTTCCTGATGTTCCTGAAGAAATCACATTTGCAAGGTAGCAGGGATGATTCCTTATTGGAACTAAATGCCAGGCTTCTATCTCAGAGGCTGCCTTGTACGAAGTTGCTTCCTGCAAATGAAGTACTTCTGTCGTACATGGGACAGAGAAACTTATCTGGAGTGATTGTCTGGATTGGGCCCAAATCATCTGTTGTGCTAACAGATCTTTGAACCTTTGAAATTGCTGTCCTCTCCACATAGGCTGGACTCAGATAAAGAACATTTTTGTTGAGTTTTTCAGGACAAAGACATGCTGAGTCACTCCATGTTTTATTCTTGGAAGGGAGGGCATAGGCAGTAAGGAAAGTGCTTGACCTTTAGGGAAGCATCACCATGAGAAGTCTGGGGCAGAGCCATACAGTTTCTTGGTAAAAACCAGACTCAGCCTTTGGGCAGCCAATGTGGCCCATTGTGATCCTCTCACCAGGAATTTGGCTCACCAATTGATTGACCTTTTTTTTGTGGAGGGGGCGGTCAAAGTCTTGCTCTGTTGCCCAGACTGGAGTACAGTGGCACGATCTCAGCTCAATGCAACCTCTGCCTCCTGGGTTCAAGCGCTTCTCCTGCCTCAACCTGCTCAGTAGCTGGGACTACAGGCACCACCATACCTGGCTACTTTTTATATTTTTAGTAGAGACAGGGTTTCACTATATTATAGGCCAGGCTGGTCTCGAACTCCTGACCTTAGATGATCCACCTGCCTCAGCCTCCCAAAGTGCTGGGATTACAGGCATGAGCCACCGTGCCCAGCTGACTGACATTTAATAGCCACTGAATTCCAGGAACACTAGCAAAGCTCTGGAAGCAGAGTCCCAGCTTTATGGGGCATGTACAGATGCCCAGTGTTTTGTGTCTTTCAGGACTCTGTTCAAGGAGAGCAGACGAGGCCACGGGCATCTGACTTCAATCCTGTGAGTATCTTGGTGTTTTCACACCTCGGAGTAAGTGTTGTTTTGGTCTCCTATGGATATCCTCTAAACCTTTTCTGTGCTCATTCCTTTGAACAGGGCCAAGAAGAAAGTTATGACCCCTTCTAAAATCAAAGTGAAGGTGAGTCATCCTGCTCAGGTTACACGTCAGCTATGCTCATCTCCCTGCAACCATGCTCTGGAAATTTCTCAAGTGACTGTGGAAGCTCATTGAGCTTCATTGGTCTGGGGACAGCTATTCAGGATGGCATTCTTGCAGTCTACCAGGACAGAGAACGGAGCCACTTACCCTCCCTCTAGCCTTGGTTCTACAAACAGTATGCAGCTGGCCCAGTTCCTGGGGTTCTTGTGGGATTAAGTGGGATCTTCTTGGCAGCCCTCTGAGGAGTCAAGAGCTCCTGCAGGTGTGAATGTATTATTACACTGTGATGATCTTTGTATGGAAAGAAATATACTCTAGCCAAGTGCAGTTTAGCTTGGAGCCACAGCAGAAAGGGAAGGTGACTTTGCTGAGCTACCAGGCAGAAATGGAGGGCAGTGCAGTGGCTTAAGAGTAGACACTTAGATGTTGCAGAAACCTCTCAGTGTAGTAAAAATTGCTGTTTATCAACATTTTTGCCAGTTCTTAGTGTTGTGTCCTTAGCCATCCCTAAGCAGACCATGAGAATGAGATATGCAGGTCATTTACTCTTGAGTATCTGTTGAGCTCTCACAATGTCTCAGACACTGTATTAAGTACCGGGGCTGCAGGAGTGAAGGATTAGACCCAACTCCTTTTCCCATGAAAAAAGCCCTCTTCTTTGAATCCATTCTTAGGAGGTCGGTGCTGGGAGAAATCTGGGAGGAAAACAGACCTGCTGTAAGGCAATTCTTACGCCATGCCTTGGTCTGATTGCAGCTAGGAGCACGTTGAGACAGTGGGAATGCCAGTAGGCAGAGTGTCTCTTCATGAGAGTCTTGCACTTTTCAAAACAAAAAAATGTCTCTTGGTGATATATTTGTTCTTCGTAACGAAGTATGCCAGGGTAAACCTGGCTCTGGCCAACCAGATACTCACCAGGGGGTGTTGAAGTCATGGCATCTAAAGTCAAGGTGGGCGCAGCTTCTACTCTCCCACCACTTGTTTGTAATTATACAGGAAGTCCCAGTTTTTTGCGACTCAAGTTCATGTGTTTGCTTCCTCACAACAGGCCAATGTTGGCATCTTTGGACCTTTCTAAACACCAACATTTCTGTTTTCCTTTAGGAATCGTCTATGAAGCCTGATAAAAAGGTTTCTGTCTCATCAGGACAGATTGGCGGCCCCATTGCTTTGCCCTCAGATCACCAGACAGGAGCCCTGAGCACTGGAGCCTCAAGTAGGGAGCTCCCATCCCAGGCATCGGGTGGCCTTGCTAACCCTCTTTCTGTCACCCTGGAGGACTCGTTGGATGAAGACTTGATCCATAATCCAGCCTCCTCTGTGGAAGCCGTGTCCAAGGAATTGGCTGCACTGAATAGCAGAGCAGCTGGGAACTCTGAGTTCACACTGCCTGCACCCTCAAAAGCACCTGCAGAAAAAGTTGGAGGAGTTTTATGTACAGAGGAAAAAAGGAACTTTGCAAAGCCTAACCCTTCTGCTCCACCACCAGCTAGCTCTCTGCAATCACCCCTTAATTTTCTGGCAGAACAGGCTCTGGCACTGGGGCAGTCCTCTCAGGAGAAAAAACCGGAGAGTTCTGGCTACAAAGAGCTGCCCTGCCAGGCTCCCCTCAGTAAGGGCCTGCCAGAAGTACACCAGTCCAAAGCAAAGCACCACAGCTTGCCACGGACGTCTCATGGGCCCCAGGTGGCAGTTCCCTTGCCCAGCCCCCAGGTAAAAGTCTTTCATGCCGGCACTCAGCAGCAGAAAAACTTCACACCCCAATCTCCATTTGCCAATAAGCTCCAAGGCCCAAAGGCTTCCCCTCCACAGTGTCATCGTTCCCTCCTGCAGCTAGTGAAGACAGCGGCCAAAGGCCAGGGCTTTCACCCCTCCGCACCAGCCACCTCAGGAGGCCTGCCAGCCTCTAGCAGCAGCTCTCATAAGACCCCAGCCTCGTCCTCTTCTGCCCTGAGCCATCCAGCAAAGCCACACTCAGCCAGCTCTGCAGGCTCATCTTATAAGAGTAATCCCTTTGCCAGCTCTATTTCCAAACATGGGGTTTCCTCTGGCAGCTCTTCGTCAGGAGGAACACCGGTCCAAGGTTCTGCTTCTGGGAACCTGCTCCCTGGCATACAGCCTCCCTCTGTGGGACAGGCCACCAGCCGACCTGTACCAAGCTCAGCAGGGAAAAAAATGCCCGTTTCCCAGAAGTTGACCCTGGTCGCCCCTCCAGGTGGTCCAAACGGAGATTCCGGCAGTGGGACCCAGGGAGTGGCAAAGTTGCTGACCTCGTCCCCAAAGCCCTCTGCAGTTAGTGTGACATCGTCTACCTCCTTGCCAGTGAGTATCCAGCCTGCCCTGCCCCACTTGCAGGGGCCTTGGGGATGAGGTTCTTGCCTTGCCTCTGGTGCAACGTGAGATCTGAAACCACAGGTCGGGTAGGAACAGTGGGCTCAGATGGAGGAAGGGAGACTTGTCTTCCTGTTTTCAGGTATTTGCTTTTCTGGTGCTTCCATCCTGGAGGGCCAGGATGGCCAAAACCTTCTGAGGAGGGCAAGGGAGCGAAAGGACGGCCAGCACTGTGCCTTTTCAGAGGCTGGGTCTGTGTGTGCCACAGAATGAGCCACAGCACTTGCCTTCCATGACCTCTTGTGTGTGCCACCGAAAGAGCCACAGCACTTGCCTTCCGTGACCCCTTGCCTCTCCTTCTCTGCAAACAAACAGGGGCGGAAATGCTGTCCCCTGTCAGTTTGTAGTCATGTGGAGGTGTTCATGGCCCAGGAATAGCAGTACCTTCTAAGAGTGATTCTGCTGGTTTTAGAAGGACTGAGTCCAATAATTAATGTGTCCTGATTGTGTGTAATTACAGCAGGTTCAGGAAGAGGGAATGAGCATTTTTTTTTTCTTTTTCTAATATATAAATTATGTGGTTAAAAAGACAAAACCATAGAAAGGTCTGTTGGAGGTCTCATTTCCTCTTCCCTGCATCCACCATCCCTGTAAGGTTAACTATGCTTCTTGGTTTCTGGTTCATTTTCCTTTCTTTTTAAATGAAAGATTAATAAATACAAATGCATGTATGTATGTGTATGTATATCTGTATGTAAATATATTTTCACGTGTATAAATATACATGAACATTTATAGATTATGACAGTATTTTTCCCTTCACCAAGGAGACATATTTGTTCATTTTTTTGAGACAGAGTCTGGCTCTGTCTTCCTAGGCTGGACTGCAATAGTGCGGTCACAGCTCACTGCAAATTGTGTAGGAGATGTATTTAATATCCTGCTTTTTAAAAAATTTGGTTCCCTGGAATCCATTCCATGTTGATTCATAAAGAGTGTCCTGGGTCCTGTCTTTAGGGCTGAGGATCAGAGGGTGCCTCCCAGGGCCATCTGACCTGCATGTGTGTATCCTCCTTTGTGCTGCCAGGTTTGTTGTGAGTCAGCTGGGAACAGGACTGGAATTCTTACTGCTTGCTGTGTTTCTTCCTTAGAAAGGAGCGGGTGGGACTCTGCTGCTGGCCAGCTCCTCTTTGATGCCTTCGCCCTACAAGTCCAGCAGCCCAAAGCTGTCTGGGGCCATGAGCTCGAACTCCCTGGGAATTATAACCCCCGTCCCGATTCCTGTCCACGTGCTCTCCTTCAGCACCGACTCCTCTGCCAAAGCAGGGGTCTCCAAGGATGCCATCGTCACAGGCCCTGCCCCCGGACCCTTCCACCATGGCCTTGGCCACAGTAAGTGCTTCTTTGCTGCCTTTGGTCGCTGGGAAACCTCTAGGCTGTTGCCAGGGCTCCTGCTGTTGTGTACTCTGGTTCCTGTGTTTGAGTCTGGTGTGTGACTGTGGGGAACATCTCGGGGAACAGTGCTGAGGCCCTGCCCTTTTGGGTGTGGTACCCAGACTGGCCTGGTAGGTTGTCGGGGGCTCTTGGCTGCTGGAGCTGCTTTTCTGTTCCTGTCTTCAATGTGTGTGTTTTGTTCTTTTCTCCCCTCCTGTTTTCTCTCAGGTCTTCTGGCTGGCTTGCACTCCAGCCCACCCCACGCAGCGCCTCTCCCACACGCTGCCGTGCCCACCCATATCCCGCAGAGTCTGCCAGGTAATCGCCCGACGATCAGTGTGCCATGCGCACTGTGTGCCTTCACCCTCTCTGCCCCTAGGTGCTGTGCCACTGCTAAGGGTCTTGGTGTCTTTGCCTTGTTGCTGCTGTTGTTTTGGTTTGTACTTTGTGCTTTGTTAGTACTCAGGGTAACACGTGCTTCTCTTGGGGTTTCCACTGGTCCCCCATTGGAGCTGCCACTGGGTCAGCCTCGGCCTGTGTGATCACAGGGAAAGTTGCAGGGGGAGAGCTTTGTGTGCAGTGGAGGAGCTCCCAACCCTCAGCTCGGTTTTTTTCTCTTCAGTTAATAAAAGGTTAATGGTCCGGGTGCGGTGGCTCACAACTGTAATCCCAGCACTTTGGGAGGCTGAGGCGGGTGGATCACAAGGTCAGGAGATCGAGACCATCCTAGCCGATGTGGTGAAACCCCATCTCTACTAAAATATAAAAAATGAGCTGAGTGTGGAAGCACACGCCTGTAATCCCAGCTACTCGGGAGGCTGAGGCAGGGGAATTGCTTGAGCCCGGGAGGCGGAGGTTGCAGTGAGCTGAGATCGCGCCACTGCACTCCAGCCTGGTGACAGAGCAAGACTCCATCTCCCAGAAAAAAAAAAAAAAAATGGTAATGGTGTATCTTCTCCAAGGGCTAATTAGGTACAAGGCCTTGAAATGCAAGCTGCTCCACTTTCCAGATATGATTGCTTCACAGAAGGCTCTCTAAACTTTGTTTCCATTAAAGGGAAAATCCAAGTAGCAGCCAGAGGCCACAGTGCAAGACTTTGACAGGAGCAACCTTAAATCTGTCCAGGTGTAAAAACTCCATCAAAACAGATGTTGGAGCACACCAGGCAGGTGGCCGGTGCTCCCTGTAGAACACCGCCTTCTGAAATAGGGAGTCTAAAAGCCCCAGGCTTAAGGCTGGTTTGGTTGTACCTGAGAAGAGGGCTGGCACCTTTGCACTGAGTGTATCTGTCTCACTGTGTCCTGAGTCCTCGATTCTTGGGTATGCCTCTTGGAATTCTGGTATGGGAAGTCTCATGGTATCTTGGCTTTGACCTAGTGTTCTTCCTGCTGTAGACGTGCTACTTGGATAAGGGGAGCCACTCTTACAGAAGCCAGCCGAGGTAACCCTGGTGAACTGGTGCCAGGTGGGAGTAAGGACCCCCTGTGCTGCATGTCTCTCAGGTTAATGTCTGTTTCATGATGTGCTGTGGATCCCTGGCACCATGGCTTTTAAAGTGAATGCCACAGGCCATATGGGGCAAGAGTGGATTTGTAAATCACCACAATGGAAATTTTGCTTCTTTGAGGGGCTAAGCCTAAAACACTGGTGACTCCTCCTTTCCTTGGGAGGAGCAGTAAAATGCAGTGACTTCCTCTACAAACTGGAGGCTGCAGAGCCACTTCGGTGAGAGCAGGGGTCTTTTCATTGTCAGGCTGCCCTGCCTTTCCTTGCTCCCAGGAACATCACTCTCAGAAAAGCAAAGTAATTGAGGCTGGCTGTGGTGGCTTGCACCTGTAAACCCAGCACTTCGGGAGGCCAAGGCAGGAGAATTGCCTGAGTCCAGGAGTTCCAGACCAGCCTGGGCAACATGACAAGACCCTATCTCTACATTAAAAGAAGAAAATTAGCCAGATGTGGTGGCATGTGCCTGTAGTCCCAGCTCCTCAGGAGGCTGAGGCAGAAGAGTCACTTGAGCCCAGGAGGTCGAGGCTGCAGCAAACTGTGGTCATGCTACTGCACTCCAGCCTGGGCAAGAGTGAGACCCTGTCTCAAAAAAAATTAAAAAAAAGATTGGTTTCTGCTATGTTTTCATTTTTCCTCTGGGTATGAAAAGGCTATCAGAATAGGAAGAATAAGTGCTAGTGTTCTGTACCACTGTAGGGTGACTATGGTTAACAATAGTATGTAGTTTCAAATAGCTAGGAAGAGGATATTGAATGTCCCCAACACAAGGAGATGATAAATGTTTGAGATGATGGATATGCTAGTGATCCTAATCTGATCACTACAAATTGTAGGTGTCAAAACATCACTGTGTACCCCATAAAATACGTACTATTATTATGTGTCAGTTTGTAAAACTTTTTGAGGGTATCAGAGGCTGGACATGATGGCATTGGGAGGCATGAGGATTGTTTGAACCCAGAAATTAGAGGGGTATAGCTGCTGTACTCCAGCCTGGGCAACATAGTGAGACCTCATCTCTTAAAAAAAAATTTTCAGCTGGGGGTGTGGTGGCTCACGCCTATAATCCCAGCACTTTGGGAGGCCAGGGTGGGTGGGTCATCTGAGGTCAGGAGTTTTGAGACCAGCCCGAACAACATGGAGAAACCCCATCTCTACTGAAAATACAAAATTAGCCAGGTGGGGTGGTACGTGCCTGTAATTCCAGCTAATTGGGAGGCTGAGGCAGGAGAATTGCTTGAACCTGGGAGGCAGAGGTTGTGGTGAGCAGAGATCTCACCTTTGCACTACAGCCTGGGTGACAGAGCGAAATTCTGTCCCCACCCCAAAATTTTTTTTACATCAGTTTAAAAGTTCGGAGGGGAAAAATGGCAATCAGAAAATCAACTATGCCAAAACAGGGTTATCCAAGTGAGCTGCTCTCACTTCCTTAGATGTACTTCAGCATATAGGAGGACACGAGATGCGAGTGAGAAGCTATTTGAGCGTTTCAGCTATGTGACTTATATCTGCATTGCTTTCCTTTCCTCTGTGGACTGAGAATGCTAGTGCCTTTGAAATTGTCTTTATAGGACCTGTGTCTTTTGATGGTAAGAAAATGAATGATCATTGCTGCTTTGAGTTCTATGTGATTGTCATTGTCAGACCTCACCTTGGGATGGCAATTGTAGCCTGAGACGAAGAAATCCAAGTTGCATAGCAGAGTCGCTATTCTCTGTGCTGAATGGCCACTGACCCTCACAGTGCTCGTGTGCTTGCAGGCTGTGGCCAGGAGCAGTGGACACGGCTAACCACTGGCCAATATCTCGTGGCTCGTTTGAGCCCTGGAACACTCAGCATTTGGGGACTTCTGCTATTTAGGTGATCCCCTTGAAGTTTGGTTACCACTGCCTTAAGGAAATCAGAGAGCCTAAAAAACTTGTGTTCTGATTTTTCTTACTCTTTTCCAGGTGCTTCTCAGCTTCACGGGAAAGGGCCTGCTGTACCACGGAAATTATGACCGCTTCAGAGGCAAGGCTTGCCACTTGGGTCTGGGTGGAATCAGAATGTGGTCTCCCAGGATGGACACTCACTGCGCCCTTTCTGCTGCTTGGTGTTCTTCTGGAGGAGTGTGAGTTCTCAGTGGAGCGCTTCTTGGCACTTCTGACATGCCTCCCACAGAGGGAGCTGTCCCCTTGCTGCTGAGGAGGCGCATACTTCCCCATGCTCTGGGCCTTACGGCTCTGTTGCTTGACGGTGTTGGAGGGACAGCTCTAGGCCGGGGTGTGTGTTGGGCTGTGGCAGGAGGCACAGTGTTTACAGGCTCTGGTGGCAGAGCAGTCGGCACACCTGCGTGTGAATCTGCCCGACCCCCTGGCGTTTGGTCAGAGTACCTCAGAGCGTCCCACTGCCCAGGGGCTCATTCTGGCCACAGTAAGCTCCCTGGATGGTCACGGTGCCGTCCCATCTCCAGGCTGTGTGCTCAAGAGGACAAAACCCAGGCCAGAGCCACAGCTGGGAGACCTACATTGTCCCTGCAAAATAGTAAGAACACCTAAGGTGTGCTCACTTGGGGGCCAGTTTCTCCTCGGAACATGACAGTGAAACTCTTTTAGAGAAAAGACCTTTGTAGATTCAACAATTGTGATAGGATTTTTACAGACACCTATTTTGGGCTCAGTTTTCATCATTACCATTAAATGCATTGGATAGAAGGGGACTGTTCTTCACACATTATATTATAGGAAGACATAATTCCAGTGCCTTTATGGTGGAGCAGAATTCAACAACACATGTCCATTCAGCCCTGAGTGGATCTGAGATGAAGACGTTTTTAAAGATCTGTCTGTATTCAAGACATAGCCAGTTTTATTTAACTGAGTTTTTTACACTTGCACATCATTATCTGTGCCGTCCTGACTAGAAGGCTGTCTGGGCCCCCAAATTCCAAGTCCCAGTGTAGCCAGGGCTCCCATTTTCCAGTTTGTGCAGTTGGACTGCAGAGCCCAAAGCCCTTCATCTCTCTGAAGGCCAAGGACACCAGGGGTCCCAAGTCACAGATAGACATTCCAGTTTGTCTTCTTAGGAATCATTCTTAGGTAGATCTGCAGAAACAGGCCTCTGTGAAGTGTCTGCCAGGCAGAGATAGGCCTTGAAGTCCTGGGGCTCTCCAGGCAGTGGGGTTACGTGTCGAACTAAGGGTGCTGTGCGGAAGAGCTTGGAGAGTAGATCAGAGGCTAGAACAGTTACTGCAGAGCTCCTAAGTTACCACTCAACCAGTGGCTGTTTCACAAGGGTTGAGGGCATTTGCCTGTCCTGTGAGGTCTGTGCCACAATGTGAGTCTGAACTGACTGCTCCAGTTAGGTGATCTCAGGCACATTGAGAGTATACAGCATCCTTAGCACATACTGTGGGAAAATGGACTGCTCTTGGCTCCTGACTCCCAGGGTATAGTGCTCGGTAACTCATCCTTCATGCAGAGGTTTGCTGGCCTTTACGGTTTCCCAAGGAGCAAGACCTCTGTCCACCCTTTGGCCTGGCCTCTGCTCTGACTCTTTTTTTTACATAAGAACTGATAGGTGTTTCACGTTGGGCTAAGTGGATTCCTTATCCCTTTGTTATATATATTTTTTGCAACTTGGATTTCCAGTTTGTTTACAGAGTAGTCTTAGGTAGTAGCAAAAGAGCCAAAGAAGAGATTTGTATTGCTGAGCTCAAAGCCAAGCAGAGGCCGGCAGCGGAGGCTGAGCAGGGACTCTCCAGGCTTCTCTGCCCACGAACACCCGGGTCCCAGCCCCTCCTTCCTTTCCCTTTGGTGCTCCCTCCTCCCCATGTACCATTGCGCGTGCAGCTGGAGCAGAATACCCTCATTTTTAGGAATCTAGTGATGCCTCTTGCCTCAGGGAAATGTTTCTTTGATGGGGAGTTTGAGATTTCTTTTTCTTGTTTATGCTTTATTTGTGGTAATGAAAGAGCGAATGACTGAACAGCCATGGCAAGGCAGATCTACAGGCGAGGCCGCGGCAGAGGGTGGGGCAGAGTGGCCTTGGGGTCTGGGGACTGCAGGGGTTTCCTTGGCGCAGCAAATGTCTCTGAGCACTTACCAGGCGTGGCCATTTCTTAGGTGTGAGAGGGGCTGTGGCTTTTGTGCAGCAACTATGTTGGTGTTAGGGGTGGTGTGGAGATTGTTAATCTTGTATAAAGCAATTCAATAAATTGTTTCAAGGTTTCCAAAACTTTTTTTTCTCTTTTCTTTCTGCCCTGTGCAAGTAGTGCTTCTATAGGAGCTGGTATGTATGAAATATCCATTTTGGCTGAAAGACAAGAGGGAGCGGGGGAAATAAGCCTTGCATGCAGTAAAAGAAGAAACAAGCTGACCATACCAGTAGGCTCCAGCCACGAGGTTTATTTTCATGCTTTAAATAAAGTTCCCTATTGTTCCCATTTTCTGTTATATATGAGATACAGAGAACCAGAAATTTGCTCGGTGAATAATCAACTGTTTTGTATATCTAAATACCAATGAGATAATAAGCGAGACTAGTAAAGCACTGAAACCAGGGCTAAGAGCAACACAATCCACTATCAAAGGATTTCAGTGCCAGAACTGAAGTGTTCTCTATTGGTGCTGGGACAGTCCGGCTGACAATTACTGTCCACTCTAGCACCGAGGGCTGGACACTTGTGATTTCTGTTTGCCTTCCCTGGCATGGAGCCCAGATCTGTTTCATGAACAAAGTGACTACCAAGGCGGCTTCTCTGATGGAAAGTTGGTTTTAAGTCAGAAATCTGGAGAGATGTCATGGCGGGCAGCAGCCCCAATGGGTCTAGCCCTTTGTAGGGCAGAGTGTCACTGTCTGCTGTGCTAGTGCCCATGCTGCATTGAGTGGGCTTGGCTGCTGTGGTCGGCTTGTCCTTTAGTGGTTCGCAGATTGTGTGCAGTTATCACGAGGAGTTTGTTGCTGGGAGTGTACGGGAGAGGGGAGGAAAAAAGGGTATCGGATTTGTCCAATCACTGGAGGATGAAGTGGGTTACTCAGAGTGAATAGTGGTTGGGATGAGAGTTGCCTGTCTTCAGTCAGTGCCTGTCCCATATGTGGGCTGGACTTTGACAGCCTGGTAGCGAGGGTGTTTGTTTATAAAATGCTTGGCCTGCACAGGGCCAGGGAGAGGACGACACCAAGGAGGTCACTGTGTCGTAAGAGAGGGCCAGCATCTGCTGCTAAGAAGAGTTGCAAGGGCTGTGCCTACTTCTGCCCAGACACCAAGACTGCCAGCTCCTGGATGGACATATCCTTGTTGACATAACGGTCGTAGTGAGCAGGGGTCAACCTGCCGCTCTGCAGGGCCTCTTCGATGGAGAACTTCTTGCCAGACTTCCTGTCGTGTATCACTGAGGACTCCCCGTTGGGCCCCTTCACTGAGATCTCCTCCCAGTCACACTCCTGGCTTTTGAGTTTCACAAGCATGCTCCAGTCAATGAGCCCGGCGCGGTGGGCTTCCTCTGGGGACAGCTCTCGGCCCGTGTCAGGGTGGATGACCACGATGGAGCGCCGCAGGTGGTTCTCCCGCTGCTCCCGCTTGACAGCCACTGAGCCCAGGCGCCTCTGCAGCTCGTCGATCTCGAGGTCTTTGTCCTTGGAGAGCCTCTTGAGGTCATCCAGTTCCCTCTCCAGGGACCACAGTCTAGAGTCGTGGTTAGTCCCAGAGTCTGCCACAGCCATGTTCCGCAGGTCTTGTGTTTCCGTCGCTGCCATTTCAATTTCCGATTGGAGCCTTCGGGTCTCCAGCTGCAGGTTTTGCCGCTCCAGTTGTAATTTGTGGTTTTCTTCCCTTAGAAAGTCTAGTTCCTTAGATGACTTGGAGTTATGGAATTCCAGCTCCGAAAGCCGGGCTTCCAGCCGGCTCACCTCGGCATCCAGCTCGCGCTTGCTGCGGCTCTCCTCCTCCAGGCTGCTCTTGAGCCTCTGGATCTCTTGCTCGGTGTCGCCCTTCTCCACCTGGACACTCTCAGAAAATACCACCTTCTCCTTGACCTCCGCCTTCTCCAGGGTGGCCAGCTTCCTCCGCAGGGTCTCCAGGTCACCCTCCAGGAGCTGCCGCCGGTGCTGTTCTTCCTCCAGCTGGAGTCGGAGCAGGGCATGCTCGCGGGCCTGCTTCGGGTCCTGCTGCAGCACTACCTTCTGCTTGTGGGTCACCTTCTCACGGGCCTCAGCTTCTTCCTGCTCCAGCACTGCCAGCCGCTGCTGCAGCCGCTGCACCTCACGCTCAGCCTCCCTGCGGGCCTGCCGCTCGCGCTCCAGCTCCTCCAGCTGCCGCTCGAGCTCGGTGCGCCGGCGCTGCAGCCGCCGTAGCTCTGCACGCAGCTTGTCGATCTGCCGGAGCTCCACGTCAATGCTCTCAGCGAAGGAGATCACCTCGGCCCTCAGGCCAGGCTCCTCCTCGTACCTGACTACTTCCTGCTGCACCACTCTTTCCTTCACCTGCGAGAGCTCCTCCTCCTTCCGGGCAATCTGCTCTTCCTGGGAAGCCCTCTCCCTCTCCAGGTCCACTTGCCTCTTCTGCTCCGCTGAGAGCTTTGCCCTCAGAGACTCCACCTCCTCCTTGGTTTGAGGGTCTTCCTGAAATTGTAGGATCTCCTGGACCACCTCTTTGGTCTGGACCTGGGGTTTGGTGTCTTTCAGGGCCTGGATTTCCTGCTTCAGCTGGTAGATCTCTAAATCACACCTTTCGATCAGTCTGGTCTTATCCACGATCTCCTCCCTGAGCCGCTGAAGCTCCTTCTCCATCTCAGGGTCAGTCTTGTACTTAATGACTTCCTTAGTCACGCCTTTGACTTCCACCTGGGGGCCCCGCCTCCTGAGGGCCTCCAGCTCGCTCTGGTAGCTCCGGAGCTGCTCCTCTGCCCCCCGGTACTTTCGCTCCTGCTCCACAAGCTCCAGGCGGAGGTTGGCCACTTCACTCTCTGCTTTGGGGTCTGGCCGCACGATCTCACGCACCTTCTCCTGCACCACCACTTTGGCATTCTCCTCCTCCAAGGCCCATATCTTCCGGAGCAGCTCGGTCTTTTCCCTCTGGCTGGCACGAGCCTTAGCAGCCTCATCCTCGTATTGGCGGGTGAGATCGCTGACCTCCCTCTCGGTGGATGCGTCCTTCTCCACCTTGAGCACCTCCTTGACGGTGATCTTGCCCTCGGCCATGGCCCGCTCCTTCTCCAGCCTCTTGAGCTTGTCCTGGAGGAAGCTCAGCTCCTCCTCCTGCTTCTCTCGGAGGTGGCGTTCCTGCTCGTGGTCATCCTGCACCTGTCGGTACTCTGCCTCCAGCTGGGGGTCATTCTGCAGTTTAACCACCTCTTTCTCGGTGACCTTCTCTCGTGCCCGGCTCTTCTCCTCGGCCAGGGTGGCCACATGCTGCTGCAGGAGGAGCACCTCTGCCTCCCGGGCACCCTTCTGCCGCCTCAGTGCCTCCAGTTCCTCCCGCAGCTGCAAGACCTCATCCGCCTGGGCCCTGTCAGGCTCGATGCGCAGGACCTCCTTGACCACATACTCCTGTCCCCCATCCCTTGTGTCCTGTTCCAGGGCGCGCAGCTTCAGCTGCAGTGCCTCCAGCTCCTCCTGCAGCAGCTGGTTCTTGTGCTGCTCTTCCGCCAGCGTCCTCTGCAGCTGCTGGAAACTCTCCTCCAGCGCGGGATCTGGCACCTTCTTGAGCACCTCCTTCCTCACCACCGATTCCTGAGGCCCCTGATTCCGCAGGGTCCGGATCTCTTCCTGGGTGCTCTTGATCTCGTTCTCCAGCTGCTGCCTCCGCTCCTTCTCCTCATCCAGTTCCTTCCTGATCTTCCATGCCTCTTCCACTCCGGAGTCCGGCTTGTTCCTCTGCAGGGCCTCATGGGTCACTTCTACTTCCAGCTGCTGTGATGGAGAAGACAAGGCAAGGTTAAAGCCATGTTTTGGCAGCACATGTGGGGCCTGTCCCCACCTGGTTAGAGCGATTGTGCTGTGATCCCAAGGGACTCCCTCAGTGCCAGTTCTTGTTAGTTGTAGAGTTCTAGGGTTACTTACAAGATGATCAAACAACTAGTTTGGGTATTTTTTTTTTAAATACTAGGTAAAACATTTTTAAGCTGTTGAAGAGTTTAAGAGGAAACCATGAACTCCCGCCTTTGGTCCTGTTCCTAGGGTGTGTCTGTCAGCCTTGCAGACGCTCTCTGTGCTCACACAAGCACGTCTGTCGGAGGTATGCACCATGTGTTTGTCTTTCCTGCACAAATGGTATCCTTGCTGTGTACCCTGCGGCCGATCATTCTGGCTCGGCACAGAGAGTACCGCTTCATGGTTTAACAGCACCACCATTTCCACTCTATGGACAGACTGCAGTTTAGCCCATTGCTGATGAATACTGAACCGTTTTGTGTCTTGCTATTACAAACAGTGCTGTCATAAAACATCATGGACTTCAGAAAATAACATTCACTTTTTTTTTTGAGACAAAGTCCTGCTCTGTTGCCCAGGTTGGAGTGTAGTGTGGCATGATCTTGGCTCACTGCAACCTCCAATTCCTGGGTTCAAGCGATTCTCCTGCCTTGGTGTCCTGAGTAGCTGGGGTTACAGGTGTGTGCCACCACGCCCAGCTAGTTTTTGTATTTTTAGTAGAGACAGGGTTTACCGTGTTGGTTAGGCTGGTCTCGAACTCCTGACCTCGGGTGATCCGCCCACCTCAGCCTCCCAAAGTGATGGGATGACAGGCATGAGCCACCATGCCCAGCCAAAAATAGCATTCACTTTCAGCAAATGTGTATTAATTTCTCATGTCAGTAGAAGCACTGGCTCGGGCCAGTCTGCACTGGTCCTGCCCAGAAACATTAGCAAGGGTATACACCCATCAATTCAGATCGTTTTTCTAAGAGCCTGTATTTGTCACCTGTTAGAACAGCTTGAAGTAGAATTTCTTACTAAGATCAATTACCTGTCTGAGGAGATTCAGAGCAAACTCTAGATTCTGCAGCCTCTGTTTGTTGATGGCATAAACTTCAGTGAACTTGGCAGCAAGAGCTGCTTCCTGCATAGAAGAGGTTTAGGAGAGGGGTTAACAGGCGTCCGCAGGGTAAGCAACAGAGAGCTAGATGGCACGGGCACGGCTCTTGAGAAGTGTGGAACTTGGGGGTAGAGGCACAGCTCTTGCCCACTCCTCCTGTAGTTAGAAGATAGTCTCATGGGTCGAGAGAAAACTGGGTCTCAAGGCTGAAGATCCAGCCTAGGGTCTTGGTCCTATTGACTTCGAGCAAGTCTTTGTACCTCTCTGAGCGCCAGTGTTCCCTCTCGTGTGTGTGTATAAGGGACGAATCTCAGCCCTCCGCTGTACTTACTGAGGTGAGCAAAGCAGGAACTTCCAAAATCCATGCCTCTGGCCCTGGCATCTCTGTTCAGCTGTGTTTTCAAAATTTTTTCTTTTTTTTTTTTTTTTAAAGAGTCATTCAGACTGAAGTGCATTGGTGTGACTGCAGCTCACTGCAGCCTTGAACTCCTGGGCTCAAGTGATCCTCCCTCCTCAGCCCCCTGAGTAGCGGGGACTACAGTAGCGTGCACCACCATGCCTAGCTAATTTTTTGTAGATATGGGGTCCTGGTTTGTTGCCCAGGCTGGTCTCCAACTCTGGGCTCAAGCAGTTATCCCACTTCGGCCCGAGAAAGTGCTGGGATTACAGGCGTGAGCCGTCGTGTCTGGCCTTGCTGTCTTTTTAGGTGTATCAATGTCACTGCCCTAGAACAAGTTCCTCTTTTTCTCTTATCAAACCTGTTTGCGAACAGGAGGGCTCTCTGGCTTCCCTGCTGTGTGTGCATCTGAGGCCAACATGCAACATAGTGCTTCCTGGGGAGCAGGGCAGCTGGGCCTCCACCTCAGCCCCAAGACACACACACAGACACACACCCGCCCGCCCACATTGCTCACCTCTTCTTTCACTTTGGCAGCGGGAGATTGGAGTCTGGCTCTCTTGTTCACGTGGCTGCTCCTTCCATTCTCCAAGTCAAGAAGGGACCTTAGTGTTTCTGCTTCTAACTCATAGTCCTGGGTGAGGGAGAGACGTGGCAGAGGGTAGACAAAAACAGCCGAGACAGATATGTTCCAGTACCCCTTTTGGCTGACCCAGACCTGTCCTGTGCCATGTGCTGGTTTTATGATCTGCTTGGGTCTTCCTCACAAGCCACACCCCTGCAGTGACTGCCAGGAGGTTTTCAGAAGTACGGAGACCTCAGCAGGACATAGCTCCATCACTCAACAATGTAAAAGACAAGAAACAGCGCCCCCACCCCCAAACTCCCCTTCCGGCTTCCTACATGCCTAGAGATTTTCGTGTTCTGCTGCTGCTTTTAACATTGTACCATAAACCTGTTTCACCTTGCCACCACCACCTCTCACGTTTACCAGCTTGCTGACTTTAGTCTATCAGGTGCATGCATGCTGATTCACGCAGCCATACCCTTCCACTGGACACTGGTCATTTCTAACTTACTAGTTTTGCTATTGTAAATAATGCTGTTGCAACAATTTTGTTTATCCTGCATTTTTTTTTTTTGTACTTTTCCCTTAAGGACAAATTCCCCCAAAGAGTTTATTGCTTTAGAGTATAAAACCCTTTTATGACATTCCATGCCCAGTCCCATGCTGTTTTCCCAAAAGCCTGTGCCAATTTGCACAGTAGCCAGCAGCGCCTCCGGATGGCCAGCTTCACCCCCTGTGCCAGGGCTGGTGCCTGCTGCTTCTCTGGCCAGGTGATGGTGGAACGAGGCCCCTTACTGTCTGTGCTTCGGGCAGAAGTTTCCCGGCTCACCTTTACAGCTTGCTGATACTGCTGGGAATTGGCATAGATCTTCTGTACTTCCTGCTCCCTACCTGCTATCTCATCTAGCAGGTTCTGTAAGAAAGACAGGGTTTAAAAATCAAAACTAACTGGAAAAAAAAAAATGGATCAAGTTTCTGTTTTTTTTTTTTTTTTTTTTTTTTTTTTTTTTTTTTTTTTTTTTTTTTTTTTTTTTTTTTTTTTTTTTTTTTTTTTTTTTTTTTTTTTTTTTTTTTTGAGACAGTCTTGCTCTCGTCCAGGCCGCAGTGCAGTGGTGCCATCTCGGCTCACTGCAACCTTCACCTCCCCTGTTCAAGTGATTCTTCTGTCTCAGCCTCCCAAGTAGATGGGATTACAGGCACAGGCCATCATGCCCGGCTAATTTTTGTATTTTTAGTAGAGACCGGATTTCACCATAACGGCTAGGCTGATCTTGAACTCCTGACCTCGTGATCCCGCCCACCTTGGCCTCCCACAGTGATAGGATTACAGGTGTGAGCCATCTCGACTGGCCACAAAAGGCAGTTCTAAGGCCCTGTGAAGAAGGGCCAAGATAGTTATCTCTGCTAGGAAATAAATGTTTATTGATGCTTTGGACCACCAGGCACTGTTCTGCTCTCTGACTCAGATTATGTCATTTAATCTTCAAGCAATCCTGGGATACAAGCAGTGTGACCACCAGCTTATGAGTGAGGAAAGCAAAGCTTTCGAGGTGGGGATGTGGCTGATGGGGTGGACCCACGATTTGCATCTCAGCCATTGGCTTCCCGTGTTCCTTCTCCCTCACCCCAAGGCACTGTGTAGGGCATGGGAGAGGCAGGAGTCCCGTCTTTGGAAATGGGATTTTTCCCACAAGGGCTCCTCCTCGTTCTGTAGCTGTTCACTCATGTAGCCAAACCACGCCGAGCATCCACTCTGCACCAGGCCCTATGTGGGGCACTGAGAGGGTGAGGTGAGTCACACACTCCGTTCTTGTTCTCAGAAGGCTGGGTGCTGGGTGCTGGGAGTCTGAGAGCTGAGGCCCAGTGATGATACAGCTGTGGTAGGCCTCTGCCCTGCTCTGCCTCCTAGAGCTTGGCTCCCCAGAAGGGGGCTTGCTGACCTCTGACCCTCCCTTGCCAGCATGTGCCTGGAGCCACAGAAGCGGCCATCTTACCTTCTGGTTCTTTAGCTTGGTCTCCATCTGGCTGAGGCTGTCTGTCTCCAGGGGCTCGTAACTGGGGATGCTGGCCAGGAACTGCAGCATGTGGTCATGGCCACTGCGGTAGTCCTCGTAGGCTGCCTTGGCACTCCGCAGGCTCTGTGCCCTGCTGAGGCAAAGCATTTAGGCCTTGGCCACAGTGAGCAGATGCCTCACTGAGCCCTCATTTTTTAAAAAAGTGGGAAACAACCAAATGTAATCTAACTAGAAATACCCCAAGCATCTCCCACACAGGGTGGGTGTTAATTAGGGAACGTCATGTTGGAGTGTGGAGAACGAGGTGGGTCCATTAACATTGACTTGCAGAGATGCCGATTGTGGATTACAAGACCCAGTAACCATGACTCAAAGGAGAGATCACGGGGTCGTCAGAGAATCTGACAAACTCACCAAAATAAAAACAGCAAAATCTGTGGGACATAGCTAAAGCACTGCTTACAGGGAACTAGACCACATTCTCATATTAGAAAAGAAAAATGGCCACCACCCACCATACCCTCACCTGCGCTCCACTTGCTGGCACAGGTTGTCGAAACGCTGGCCCAGCTTGTGAACCTCGGCCTCCTGGCGCTCCAGGTCTGGGCAGTGCTCCTGGAAGCGGCTGGCCAGCGTGCTCGAGCACTGCTTGGCTGCCTGCAGATTCCGCTCCACCTCGCCCAGGAGGGACTTCTGGGCCTGTAACTCAGAGGCCAGGGCTGCCAGCTCCTGCCCCTTGCTGTCCAGGACACGGCTGCTCTCAGGGACGGTGTTGTCCTGATTCAGACAGTTCTCCTGTGTGGCCAGCAACTCCCAGCCCTGCTGCAGGCTCTTCTCCAGGCGGTTGGCCACGTCAACCTTCTCCTGGGCCAAGTCCAGCAGCTGCACCAGGCGCTCATATTTCTGGTTGGTGTCCTCCACCCGGGTCCTCAGCAGGGGTGTGGTGCCGCTGCCCGGGAGGGCCTGGATGAAGGCTTCGCCCTCAGCCGCACTCCGCGTCTTCTCAGGCTCGATCTGTAGCAGCTCGTTGGT